AGAGAAGAGAGAGAGAGAGAGAGAGAGAGAGAGAGAGAGAGAGAGAGAGAGAAGAGAGAGAGAGAGAGGAAGAGGGAGAAAGAAGAGACGAGAGAGAGAGAAAGAGACGGCGAGTGTCGTGCTCCCCGCACGTAGGCAACACTCCGCGCACACCGCTCGACACCCGCTGCCGATTCCCACCTTTCTCCTCTTTCGCGGCGGCGGAGCGCGATGCAACCCCCGTGCGATCCTCCCCCCAAGCCCCGGCCGCCCCGCGCGCGACGGCGGCTACGCGCGCGCACCCCTTCGCCTTCTCGCTCCGTGCGCGCGCGCGCGCGCGCGCACACCCGCCTCTCTGGCTCTCGCGCTAAAAACGTGAAATTTGCCGCGGGAGGTATACACGAGGCGGCCACGCCGCGCGATCCCCCAGCCTCCGGAATGCTCGTCCGCGACCTCGACTGCGGCAAGTGAGGTAATAACCGTTGCTGCGCGGCGGCCGAGATTCGCGTGAATTTTCACGAGCGGACAGAACCGGAAGACGCGCGCGCGAGGCTCGTCGAGCAGCCGCGGAATCCTAAAAAATCGAGTTAACGCCGAGCGACCTTGAATAGGGACTCGGATCGAGACGCGAGAATGAAGAGGGAGAGAGCAGGGGGAGGAGGAGACTCTGGACCACGCTTTGAATCTTCTTTTATCGATGAAAGTGCCACCGAAATTGATTTTGAGGGACTCTTATCGGCTGAAAAGATCTTCTACAGGCACTTGTATCGATAAAAGGAGATTCAGAATGTGGGCCCCCCTCTCTCTCTCTCTCTCTCTCTCTCTCTCTCTCTCTCTCTCTCTCTCTCTCTCTTTCTCGCTTCTCGCACGTCGTTTTTGGAAAACCGTCGACTCGAGGGGTCTCGAGATGAGAAGACTTGGCGCGGTTCGTATCGCCGTCGCGGTGCGGCATTGTTCTATCGAGCATTATTCGAGACTGCCTTCCGCATCGTCGACGTGCGCATGCGCGCGTCGGGTTTCCTTTCGGCCGAGCTACGGGAACGACGACCGCGGTTCCTGCCGCTTTTCCTTACCGCGCGTATCTTCCCTCGTATACGGCAAACAGAGTGGATTTTCCCCTCGAACGCGAGTCACCACGTGAAACTTTCGGAAAGTATACCCTTTCCTCCCCCTCACTCTCTCTCTCTCTCTCTCTCTCTCTTTCTCTCCCTCCCTTTCTCTCTGTCGCAGCGACGAACGAATCTCAATTACGAATGGACCAAGACGTCCCGAAAATTTTATCCCGTTTCAGTCGTACGCGCGACGGCAGCGATAACGAGCGAGACAGGTCGCCGCGTAAGATGGATTCTAATATAATTCTCGGTCTTGTCGAGCGATGTCGCAACTCGGTTACTCGATCTCGTTCAAAATAGATTAACATAGAGCATCCCCGCGCCGCGACTTCAGTGAGTCTATCGACGAAAACCGCCTCTAAAAGAGGCGTACCTGCCTGACGACGAGGAAACGTGTGTGCAACCGCGTTTCAGCGCTATCCCTCCCCGCGCCGCAACCCCCCCGCGCGCGCGCGGACACAATCGCACACCGTGCGCGCGCGCGCGCACACACGCGAACGGAGGTATAATCGGCGTAGGAAGAAGGGTTTTGTGAATCAACGGTCTCAACGGCAACGCCGCATTGCAGATCCGCCGCGCCGACACGCAACTGACCCCTCCCGCCCTCCCTCCTGCCCCCCTCCCACCCTCCACCGCTCTCCTCCGCCGCCGCAGTTTGTACCCTAAATTACACCCACGGCGAGCGCGCGCGTATATGCCTATGCGCGGTATATAACCACGACGGAGGCGAGTGCCGATTTACGAGACGCGCGCTACGTCGGCCGCGCGAGAGCGATGTCTCGCGGTTTTCGGAGTCCCCTCCCCCTCCCCCTGCCTGCCCCTCCGGACGGAGAGCAACGCGACGTCGTCCGCGTGCCGTGAGGATCCGCGATCGCCATGGCGATCCGCGGTGCACGCGACGCGTTATTAACCGTAAGGGGCCTGAGCACGGAACGATTGTCGTAACCGTTTACGACTCCGCCGTAAGACTTAAGTCGGCGTCGAAAGTCAACGCAGGAAGAATTGTCGTGGACGTATGTCGCATTCGTTGCATCGCGAGGCGACATACGACAATTCTTTGCGCGTAGACTTCCGACACTGACTTACGTCTTACGACGGAATCACAAGCGGTTACGACAATCGTTCGGCTCAGGCCTTAAAGCCTGTTATACAGTACGTCGTATGTCGCTGTCGGATGCCGGACGTAGTCGGTCCAATTTTTTGTAAGGAAATGTTCTCCTTGGACCATCGACTACGTCCGACATCCGACAGCGACGTACGTCGTATTGTAAAACAGGCCTACGGCTGGTATTACATTTGTCGTACGACAAATTTTTTTAATATATTGATTGGTTACAGAATAGAAAAGTTCTCGAGTATCTAGAAATTTTCTAGCTTGTAGCCAATCAACGCGTTAAAAAAATTTGTCGTACGACAAATGCAATACCAGCCTAATATTACATTTGTCGTACGACAAAGTTTTTAAGCGTGTTGATTGGCTGCAAGATAGTAAAATCCTCGAGTATCTACATATTTTCTATGCAGTAGCCAGTCAACACGCCTGAAAAATTTGTCGTACGACAAATTTTTTAAGTATATTGATTGGCTGCAGGATAGAAAACTTCTCGAGTATCTAGAAATTTTTTATCCAACAATCTATCAAAATTTGGCTGCAAGATAGCAAAATCCTCGAGTATCCAAAAATTTTCTATGCAGCAGCCAGTCAACACGCTT